AACTGTTCACTTCATCTTGATCAAAGAATACAGAAGGGAGAAGGATAGGGAAGAGAGCATGATTGGAGAGAATTACTGAAGTATTCAGTAATCAGTGGTACTGAGCATGATTTTCAAGTGGCCTCACCCAGATTTTAGTCATCTTCATTGGCATCCAAAGCAGTATTAGAAAAGGGTGTTGCTGTCCACTGCAAGCCTTATATAAAAAGTTTAAGGCTACCTCACGTGTTTCCAATGCCAAGGAAACTATTTTCTTTTTTAAAAACATGCACCTCTGAGAAGTACATTGTGACCCAAGTACAGCTTTTAAGAGGATGGAATTTATTATTTCTTCCTCCTTTTGCTATAGAGCAGTAAGACTCACTGAGAAATTCTTGTACAATTGCATGACATGATGGTACAAATTTTCCAAACACCAATCGACTTCCAAATATGATTAGTTATAAGGCAGTGATGGGAGGAAGATTAATATTGTGCATGCAATTTTGATTAATGGTACACCAATTTTCTAACATTACTTCATTTTGTTTTGGAAGACAGTAGTAATGTGGTTATTGATAATTGCATGCATTTTGTTCTTAGTATTCTTCTGTTCAAACTTGCTTTATTATTTAAGGGACAAGAATGTGAAACTTAGACTTGAACTATAGAAAACTGAAAATGACTACAGTGATTCCTTTTTTTTTTTTTTTAATAATCGGCATTTAGTCATTCATTATTTCAATGACTGATGCATGCAATTACTGCTTGAAGTTCTCACTGCTACCACAATAATATTCCTTCAAGCACTCTGCAATTTCTATTTTGTTGTTCAAGTAGGATTTGCTCATTGGTACTGCATGCTGGCACAGTCTGAACTAATTCCATCTATTTACTTTCCCAGGTTTTTCTATTTGTTTCATAGAACTAAAAAACACACTTCTAGACTCTGGAGAGGACATATGTTGAGCTAAAGAGAACAAACAGTTAACTTTCCAGAAAGGCCCCCATGGTGCATATGTATGTGGTTGGTAAATCTTAAGTGCAGTTTTTATTAGTTTTGGAAGACAATAGAGTCTACTGGATAAGGCACTGGATTGGGAATCAAACCACTTGGATTCTGTTCCCAGCTCTGTGAGACCATAGGTAAGTTTTCTGCATTTGTCAGGAAAATCAAAATGACACTTTGTTTTGAGCTGATCCAAATCAAAATACTTATTGTTGTCAAATCAACATTGACCTTAGTCAGTTGCTGCAATGTCTCATGGGAGTTGTAGTTTGAGTGCCTTGTGAACTCATTCTCTTTAATAGACCTGGCTCCCCAACTGGACTACATCTCCCATGATGCACTGTGGTTCCATATCTGGTTGAACCACCACTGTTCATCATTCAAATCCCATGACCACACTGTATCATGGGAGATGTAGTCCAGCTGGGGACCCCAACCTATGAAAAGAAGACGGGCAGGAGACAGCATGGCAGCTCAGGTGGACACAGATTAACATCACTGACCCAAAGTGTTTTTATTTTCTTCAAAGAAACAAACATTTTCGTTTAGAACTATTGTAACATTTCAAATCAGAAGTGTCTAAACAAAACAGTGATGTTTCCAAACTGATTGAATAGAACTTTCTGTTCGAGAAAAATTAATAAGATGTTTTGTTCCAAAACAAATGTGGAAATGGAAATTCTGATTTTTGTCCAGATTTATTAATAAGTTTTCAAAAAAAATACAACCACATTTAAGTGAACTAGCACCAATACTTCATTTAGGCCAAGTATTCTTTTTATCCTGTAGCACAAGAGTTCTGCTTTGTACTACAATTTCAAATAGATTTAGCAGTCCAAAGAATCTTTCTGCCCTAGTTCTGACAGCCATTGTCCAATACAGTACATTCAACTCTTTAAAAACTTCTAGGCTGTGCTCACCACAAGTTTGGCTGAGTCTAACCACTATCCTATGTGTTCATTTCCCTACCATGTGACAGTTTTCATGTCTCTGCTCACTCATGCTCATTTTAGGAACTCTGGGCCCAAATTCTCAAAGTTGAATGCCAACACTCAAGAGACTACCTAGCCTTAGTTTTTACCCCAGTTTGAAACTATTCCACACTATAAACCCTATCTCATTGTATCTGTGCAGGTTGTACTGCAAAGTACTAGGTAAACAAATTTCTGTAATATTCCTATTTACATTAATCAAAAATTTTCATCCTCACTGCATTAACTGTTTTCATTGTATTGAGCCCTTTACAATGACTAGCATTTCATAAAGGATTGTACACACACAAAAGATACACTATACAGTTTCTGAAAACTCGTGCTTTCCAAACAGACTAATGCACAAACTTGCATGGAAGAAATTTACTTGTATTCTGGGTATAGTCTTATTCTATTGCTTCCAATTTACTTCCCAATTTTAGTATTTGATCTGTAAAATCATATTATTCTTGCAGTGCATGGAAGTATCTAGAGCATAAACACACCACAAACAGCACTATGTGTTTTTTATCACATGCATAGTAAAGGCATTCTGAGTCAATCTAAAATCCTTGTTCTAGCATAGTTTAATGAATACAAGTACCTGTTGGTCCCAGCACTAAATTTAAAGTGACAATTTCTAATGCTATTGTCTGAATTTTTGCTGCCATTGTTACAAGTTACATCTGATTGTTGGAACTGCAAATTAGACAAATAATGTTTCTCCCTATTTTTAGCATTTATTTTGACCATATGACAAGTCAGTTTCATTGTTTCCCCTGTATGGTCAGTTTCTCTTTGCATGTCTTTTACACAACAGGAGACAAAAAAAATATGTCAAACATAGGAAATCATGACCCTCTAACCACAACATTTGGCAAGGACACTCAAGGACAGCTATAGGGCCTGAAACCACCTTTGATTTTTTTTTTTTTTTAATTTTTTACAATTTTCTAGATTTCAAGCTGACCATTTTACAAACCAACCATTTCCCTTTAAGTTACTTCTTTTGGTCCTCCAAGATCTATTTTTAGATGATGCCCTCAGACTTTTCAGGAGAAATTAACATAAAATGTTTACTGCCATCTTACTCATTAACCTCTGCAAGCCTTAAGAAGGGAACATAGGGAACACTTCTTGGGGGCTGTATAAAACAATGGGTAAGATACAGGGGCACCTCAATTTGCAAGCATTCCAAAGGAAGGCAGCAACACTAAAAAAAAATATCCTTAACCACACACTTTCACCCAATTCCATCTTCAAAGCAAGATACTTTGAACATGAATAGTGCCCCAGAAGTATTCAATATACTTAAACTACAGCTATAAACACATAGTGAGACACACAAGAGTAAACAATGAAAACTGATCTGTTGCAGTCAAGGCTACAGTTGTGCTAGAAAATTTGGTAGATGTGGCTGAAATACACTAATAACTAACTTATGTAATGCCTTTCACACAAAGATAAATAGTTTTTCAATTCCAAACCCTTCCCAATTCTGTAAGTGCAAAGAGGCTGAATCATAGCATCAGCATCTAACAGGATTCCAGCTGTTTCACTGCTTTCAGTGAGGGGCAGGGAGAAGAGCTGGGACATCTGCTATGGAAACCTGAACTGCCAGTACTTTGCATCTCTCCCATTAGCCACAAGTCTCCAGTGAGATTTCCAAGCCCTAAGATTCTAGCAGACTTAATATAGAGCCCAGCTAGTAAATTTGTTCAGATAATACATTAATAACTGGCCAAACTGAAGCAGTCCATAGGTACCAGGATTTCCCCCAATTCTTCAGGGTCCAGCTGGTGGACACTATGGATCTCACCCATCTTGACTCCTATCAACACACTGCTGCTGATCCTGCCTATTCCATTCCTTCCCCTCCCACCCATTCCAACCAAAGAACACAAGGGACTAACTTCCTCCCCAGGGTGCAGCCCTCAGATTCCACACCTCCCCTGTCCCTCATACCCACCCACAGCCAGCAGGGACCCTGCCAAGCTGGAACATTGGAGCAGAGAGAGGGGCAGGTGCTCCTGTTCTCCAGGCAGGGCTCTGGGAAGCAGGGTGAGGGAAGGTAGAGGAGCTCAGTGCACAGCCCTTCCAGAACAGCAGAGCCACACTGGCTGGGATGCTCAGCCCTCAGAAGAGTCACACTTTGGGAAGTTAAGTAGCCCTCCTTCCAGCCTCTTGCAGCTCGCCACAGCAGAGCAGCTCTAACCACTAGGTCCTGTGGGAGTGAGCGAAGACTTGATCCCCACAGCCACGGGGGCTAACACACCCACCCCGCAGGGCAGGGCACTTGCATCCGGGACAGCAGCACCAAATTAAGCCCACTGGGCCCCCTCTTCCCTGCAGTCAAGGGGGAGAATGGGGGCAAGCATGCCCGAGGGGCCCCCTTCCCTGCCCTGGGAGGGGGGAGAAACATGGAGGAGGAGGGGCATGGCCAAAGGAACCCCCTTTCTCTACCCTCAGAAAGGTCTAGGGGCCAATATGGTAGGCAATGGCCTAAGAACCCTCCCCCCTTCCCTGCCCGGGGAGACGGAGAGAATATGGAGGGGCAGGCAACGGCCGAAGGACCCCCCCCTTCCCTGACCTGGGGGGGCGGAGAGGATATGGAGGGCCAGGTAACGGCCGAAGGACCCTCCCTTCCCTGGGGGGAAGAGAGAGAATATGGGGGGCCGGCAACGGCCGAAGGACCCCCCCTTCCCTGACCTAGGGGGGGAGAGAGACTATGGAAGGGGGAGAGAATATGGGGGGGACCGGCAACGGCGGAAGGACCCCCCCTTCCCTGACCTGGGGGGGGAAGAGAGACTATGGAGGGGGAAGAGAGACTATGGAGGGGCCGGCAACGGCCGAAGGACCCCCCCTTCCCTAACCTGGGGGGGGAGATGATATGGAGGGGCTGGCAACGGCCGAAGGACCCCCCCTTCCCTGGGGGGGGGGAGGGGAAGAGGGGGGGGGCGGGCAGGGTCCGCCCCTTGTTTGCGGGGTTTCCCGGACACCCCGCGGACGAGCGGGGCAGGAGCCGGGCTAGCGCCGCTCACCTAGCGAGGGAACCGCCGCCTCTGTCTGTCTCTGCAGCCGGACCCCGCTCCCCAGCCAAGCCACACAGCGCCGCGATCCTGCCAAGCCGAGCCCGTCTGGGTCCGAGCCCCCGCCTCGCGAGGTATTTATACCGCTCCGGCCCCGCCCCCCGCCGCCGCCGCCCCTGGGGACTCCCCGCCCCGCTCGAGCGCTACCTGCGGCCGCCTGTTGCGCGGGGCTCCGCCTGTCCGCGGGCGGGGAGAGGCGCGCGGCTGGGCTGGCAGAGCCCCCGCCTTGCCCTGCCCCCAGGCCCGCGCTGTGCGCGGAAGCTGAGGGAAGCTACCCTGGCCCGTGAGAGGTCCAGGCTGGCACCCTCCGCCCCTGGCCCGTTACAGGCCCGCCCAGCTGGACCTGAGGCTGCGGGGAGCTGGGCCCCGCCTGCCGCTTTGGGCCAGGGATAGTCACAAAACCACCCTTTGGCTACCAGCCAGCCAACCCCGCAGGCCCCGATGTTTCTGCCCCCTGGCCTGACACCATCGACAGCCCGCGAGCTGGAGGGAGCCTTTGCCAACGCCCCAGCAGCGAGATGGGCACACGGGGTGCTCGTAGCCTAGCTTGCCTGCAGGGCCCAAGGCCATAAGCCTGGCCAGAGCAGGCCTGGCCCTCACGAAAGATGGCAAAATCCACCCCCCTGAGTGACACAGTTATCTGACCTAGCCCGCGGAGCAGACAGTGCTATGACAATGGGGGGGGGCTTCTCTCGTCAACATAGTTACCACCTCTCTGTGGGGTGGAGTACCTACGCCAACAGAAGAAGCTCCCCATCGGCATAGGTAGCATCTTCGCTGAGGGCTTGTCTACACTTAACTGCACCGCTGTAGCACTTAGTGAAGACACGAACTACACCTAGGGGAAAGCGTCTCCTGTCAGGGTAGCTGTGTCAATGGGATAAATCCTCCCGTTGACAGAGCGCTGTCTACAGTGGGGGTTAGGTCGGTGGATTTTCCACACCCCTGAGTGACAGTGAAACCAACATAAGTTTGTAGTGTAGATCAGGGCTGAGCGCTATAGTGGTGCAGCTGTGCCACTGCAGTATTGTACACGTAGACAAGCCCTAATTGTTGAGTTTGTGATGGCTAGGTCCTCTTTGTGAATCTAGTCCCTGCTCCCTATATGCCCAACCTGCACGGTTTGGATCCTGACTTCCCCAATGTTCAGTGGTGTTCAGATTCAGTGTTCTGGTTTGGGCCCAGGATGCAAATGTCCTCAGTGTTTGCAAGTGGGGAGGGAGTCAGATCCGGTGCTCTGGTTCTCTAATATATTCCTTGATGTTTAAAATGTTTTTTAACCTTTATTTTTTAAATCCTTCTTTTCTCCCATTTCAAAGAGAAAATCAAAATATCAAGTAGCAATAAAATAGGTTTAATTTCTATAGTACCCTTCATTCAAAAGTTTCCTTAGACAATAAATTTCCTGGGGCAGAGACCCTGGCTTTTGATTGGCAGCAAAGCACAATGCTCGTGTGTGAATCGGTATTCAGGGGTGAATGTAGCATCGTGATTCAATGTATGCACTATACTACACTGCCATGGGACACTGACCCCTGCTGTAACTCTCTTCACCCCAGCACTAATCCTGGCCTGTGAGAAGGGGAGGTCGCAGGGGGAGGGCTGGAGGGTGAGCTGACCCCACATTCACCCCACAGCAGTAACCTCTGTTCCACAGGGGAAAGGGGAAACCAGGCCAAACCTGAGTGGTATTGTGACCCCCCATAAGCCAACTCGCAATGCCTGCACAGGCATGTGTGCAGTTTCTGTGGGTGCAACTGAACCAATGAACCCACACTAAAGCTGCCCCATACATAATAATCCTAAAGCATTTGGAAATGCTGTTCCACATAAATAAATAAAAGTTAGAAACAGGGATCATTTTGCCCATCTCTGAAATGGAGCAATTTGGGGGTGAAATGCAATAATAATAAAAATAAATATCTAGCTCTTATGCAGCATTTTTCATCAGTGGGTCTCAAAGTATTTTACAAAGGAGATCAGTATCATTATTCCTATTTTACAGATGTGGAAACTGAGGCACAGAAATGACGTGACTTGCCCAAGGTCACCCAGCAGGCCAGTAGTGCTTTAACAGTGCATGGTGATATCATAATACAGGTTAGGACAGGAAGTGAAGCATTCTGGCAGACAGAACAGTGTGATGGAATTTGCACATGACACAGAGATTAACAATCATATTTTATGTGAATTTAACTGATTATATTTAAACTCTTAAAATCACTGTATATACTTACTTATATTGGAGCACTTCACAGTCTTTAATGTATTTATCTTCACAACACCCCTGTGAGGTACAGGAGTACTATTATGCCCATTTTACAGATTGGAGAACTGATGTACAGAGAGTAAGGCTAAGTCTACACTTAAACTGCTACAGCAGCCGTTGTAGCGCTTCAGTGAAGACACTCACTACAATGATAAGATGGGTTCTCCCATCGCTGTAGTTAATTCTCTCTGAAAGGTAGCTAGGTTGACAAAAGAATTCTTCCATCAACATAGCACTGTCTACACCAGGGGTTAGGTCGGCGTAGCTAGGTCTCTCGGGGATGTGGATTTTTCACACCCCTGAGAGACGCAGCTATGCAGCTATGCATTTTCAGTGTAGAGCAGCCCAAACTGACCTGCCCGAGGCCATAGAGGAAGTCTGTGGCAGAGCAGAGATTTAACTCGAAGCTTCTAAATCCTAGGTTAGTTCTCTAGCCACAGGACCATCTTTCCTTCCAATTGTAGATAGGTGTGATGCAATGCCAATCAAGGGCCTAAACTGGCAACGAAGTCAGTGGGACTACTAGCATGAGCAAGGACTTTAGGATCAAGTCCCATGAAATGACCAAATGATAGTGAACCAGTGGAATAGTTGCAAATAGAAACCCAGAGTCATGGTTCTCAGTCCCCACACTTTATGTACTAGCAAGAACCTTTTTATCACAGTTCACCTACTGGATGTGCAGTGGCAATTTATAAAAGGGTCCAAAGCTCAGTAGTTTTAGGAAATGTTGAAAAATGAATGTGTATAATAGCGAACTCTCGTTGTAGAAAGTAAAAAGAGTATCATATACATGTATCAGTTTAAAATAGAGCAAAAACAGTATGGTAGACTGTGAATTTCAAAATATCACATCTGTATTCTAACACACAGTCTGCTTGTGCTCCCATTGAAGTCAATCAACAGCCTGGGCTCTGTTGAATAAAGATTGCCAATAAATACCACATTTGTGGGTATTAGATTTAGGATGTACACAAGTCCACAATGGAGTAGGTTTAAATTGTTACAGGCTTGAGCTACTTTGGAGAAAAGTCCGTTTCTCTGGTTTGCTGTGAGACATACTGTTTGCTATTTCAAAGAGGAGTCCTGATTTTAACATATCTATTCTGCATCCTGCACTAGCCAGAACTATGAAATACTAACATAATGATAAAGTGTCCTCATGGTGCGTAGTTGTCTCCCCCCCGCCCCCGCACTGGCCCAAAACAGCAAAGGTGACAACTTTAAAATATGGACATGTTTGCTTAGTGCATGTTTCCATGGTCTTTTACATTGGACATAGTAGTTCTACCATCTTTGTACTCATTTTATAGTTTGAGACCTGAAAGCTGATGAAGTCACCAAAATCCATTCATTTGGAACTTGAGCCTATTTTGAATCCAAACCTTCAAAACTAAGAGGTGAGCCAATGCACTGCCCCACTGAATCTCACTGCATTTGTTATGATCATGCCAGAATGTGTATATAGCTCATCAGTTTTTAAAACTATGCCATAAGAACAAGAACACTGGAAGGAAAAGGTAGACAGGACTATTTTCCCAAGGGATTATTCCTTCATAGAGATGAGTCTGAAACAAAACCCCAGCTCAGAAACACCCAAATTTGGGGAAAATTCCAGTCTGGGTCAGGATCTGGACTTTGTGGCTCAGCCAATCTTCATGCAGAGCTTAAGAGTTCTTCAGTCTGCTGTGCTTCGGTGCTTCCTGGGGAAGGGTCCTGCAGGTTGAAGAGATTCAGTGGAACAAACTGGAGGTCAGACTAGAGCTGGGCAAAGCCTTGGCAACATTTGCAATGAAACCAAGAGAACTTGGTTTCAGGTTTTATTACTAACCAGGCTCATTGAAAGTTTTGCTGAGTTTGGGATGAAAACAAGGCAAAACTTGGTCATTTCATTTGAGTTTCACTTTGAGCTTTGCAGTTTATTTGAAATTTAGGTTACACATGGTGAGAGGCACTTTAGAAGTACCTGAGACAGACAGAAAATAGATGGAGAGATGCATCCATAATATAAGGGGTGCAAACCCATGTGAACTGAAACCCTGGGAATTAAAACCCACAAAAGGCCAACATTCCAAGGTATATTGTCCATTGTAAGGATGGGATTACTCATTATAAGGCTGAGAATATCATAATGGTTTATGATGTCTTTCTGGGCAGGAGGATGGATTGCAAGAGAAAACAGTAATTCCAGAAGTCCAAATTAGGAAGTATTTACTATGTGAAGATGCAATATCTAAACTATGCAAAAGGCCAAATCCTGCCCTATGCTACAGAGGAGCACTGATAAGGCTTTGAGGAGTCTCTTTCTGTGTCTGCCCCAGTTCACAGCAAGAGGCCTACCTAGGGCTCAGAAGAGTGCTAGAGAATTACGCAAAGTGCTATACAAACTAGTGTACACAATACCTATGGAGCTAATTAGTATTTATACTGCAGTGTGCTACACGTCCTAGGTGGGGTCACTCTCAGTGGCTGCACAGCGAGATCCATCCAGCCCCCACCATCAGTCTGTTTCCTATAACTAATGTGCACCCAGTACCATCCTGCCCCCAACTCCTATGTATGACTGTTACTTGCAATGGCAGTATTTAACCTGGAATATAACAGATGTTGTTGTCAGTTTCATTGCCCAAGTAGCTGGAGGCCTAACAGGCAATCCTATCATTAGTGTTTTAAAGTAAGTTAGAGGTGTCATAAACTTTGTTCTATTAAGATAAGTTGGTAACAGTTATCGAGGTTTTTAAAAACAGGTTAGACAAACACTTGTGA